TTATCTGGCAATTTGAAAAAGATTCTAGTATAGCTAAAATTTGCATAATATATTCAGTGACTTTATTTTAAAGTCTACAGATAACAAACTCCCCCTGATATCTGCATCCGAGGAGTTAAGTGGGTGGTGTATGTAGTCATTAGTAGCAAAAGCAGGTGACTTTCTAGGAGTCTTGTGCTGCTAACAACCTCAGGTGCACACAGACATTTTCATGTGCTCTGCCTTTCCTTGCAGGTGCATTTCCTTGTGAAGAAAAGAAAGTATTTGCTCTTCCTTTTGGCTTTATTATCTCACTATCAATTATTTACTCCTCTGATGATTACTGCATTGCCTCCTCCCCCAAAATGAATTTTCTCTTCGTGGGTCAAACAGTGGTTTTTCAAAGTGTGGTTCCCCAGACCAACAGCCTCAGTATCACCTGGGAATTCATTAAAACGGCACATCCGCAGGCCCCACCCTGGACCTACAGAATCCCGAGGTCTGAGTCCAGAGAACGTACATTTAAAATTTTTTATTTTTAAGTGCAATTTAAAAAAAACCTATAACATGAAATATACATCTTACCTGTTTTTACGTGTAGAGTTCAGTAGTGTTAAATATACCCACATTATTGTGCAATAATAGCTCTGCAGAATAAAACTAAAACTCCGTACCTATAAAGCAACTCTCACTTCCCCCTTCTCCCGGCACCTGGCCCCACCATTCTACTTTGTTCTTTATGAATTTGACTACTTTATATACCTCATGTAAGTGGAATCTACGGTATTTGTCTATGACTGACTTGTCTCACTCGGCCTCATGTCCTCAAGGTTCAGCTGTGTGGTCTGTGACAGGATTTCCTTCCTTTTAAAGGCTGAGTAGTATTCCTCTGTGTGTACACGACACTTTTGTTGTCCATTCATCCTTGGACACTTCAGTTGGCTTACATCTCTTGGCTGTTAGGAATAGTGGTGCAATAACGTATCAGGGCAGATATCTTGAGCTCCTGACTTCATTTCCTTGGAATGTGGACCCAGAGTGGGATTGCTGGGTCTCAAGAAACCTCCACATTGTTTTCCATGGCAGCCATGCTGTTTACATCCCCATCACCAAGGATGCGCACTTCCAGTGCATTCCCAGGTCATGCTGGTGCATACTGCAGTTTGAGAACCGCTGGATGAAAGTAAGGATACCTCCCTTCTACACATATGTTCTTGACTGACATCTGTGTGAGAAATTAATCTTGCTGGGGGACATTATCCAACAGGTGAGCCGTCTCTTGATCTTGGGAGGGGCCAACGTGAACTACAGGACTGAAGTGTTAAATAATGCCCCGATCCTGTGTGTCCAGTCTCACCTCGGCCACGAGGAGGTGGTCACTCTGCTCCTGGAGTTCGGCGCCTGCCTGGATGGAGTGTCGGAGAACGGCATGACGGCCCTCTGCTACGCGGCGGCTGCCGGCCACATGAGGCTGGTGTGTCTGCTGGCCAAGAAGGGGGCCAAGGTGAGCAGCAGCCTTCCCCCGGGGGTGAGGGGATGAGGGCTGGGAGTTGTTTCACATCCTTGGGGAATTACCACTGGTTGGGCCAGTCTCCCTTTGGAGAGAACAGAAAGGGTGGAGCTCCAGGCTCCAGGCCAGATGTGGGTGTGTGTGGTGGGAGTGTGCCGCTTCAGAGAGACAGGGGCCCAGTGTTTTGCTTGAAGCTCTTAACTCTGTTAAATTCTGCCCCAGGAGAGGCAGGAGAGCAGGAGGCTCCTGGCCACCAGCAGCCTGAGTAGGGCCATCCTTTCAAAAGCCTGCAGGTGTTGCCCTGGAATTTATCACAGGATTTAACACAGCACTAGGTTGGCTGAAAAGATTTAAATGGTTTTTTTTTATTTGTTTTTTCTCATTCCATTTCATATCTTTTTTAATACAATAAAATGGATTCTGTGGGTCTTAGAAATCACGTGCTTAGGCATATGGCTGTGGGAACTAGAAGGCCCCAACTCCTCATTTCCCCAACCGCCAGTTCAGATACTGGGCAAGTTGAGTTGGTGTGCCTCAGGCTTCTCATCCGTAAAATGGGCACAACAGGACCTACCACAGGGCTATGGTGTGAGCATTAAATAAATCAATATATCAATATCAACACGAAGGAAATGTTAAACAAGTTACTCTAGGACTGTCATCAGTGTTAACAGATTAAATGAGACCAGCGCCATTTTCACAGTCAACTCTGTTTAGGTTTATGATAAGCACTGCGTTGCAGGAACGGGGAATGTGCTTTTGAATACCAACAGAAATAAGTCACTGATACTTGTCTTTCTTCTTTATAGTTAGCTAGGATATTTAAAGTTCAACAAAAAGGCATTAAACTTGTAGTGACTATGGGAGCCTTTTTGTTTGTTTTTTTCTCTCAAAACTACAGCATTTGGGACAGGTCATCCTTAGCTCATGGAAGGAGTGAAATACTGCTGTTATGTGTTCCCAGTGGGTGCGTTACTGGCCATCATCACACCTCCATTTCCACCAACAAACCGTGGCTTCGCTTCATTCAGAGACTAGCTGAAAGTTCTATAGGAGAGGGACAGGGTCACAGTGGCTGTAGCAAAGCCTCTGGGTAGGCGTGCAGAGCATCCCTAGAATTGGCACGCGAGGCAAGGCTGGACCCTGAGTCCTCTTCCGGCCCAGTGTTCCCAAGTGTAGACAGGGAATGTCACATTGTCTGCTGCCTCTTGGACCATTAGGAGGCACGCAGTGTCAGGAAGCCACCCCCCACTTTGTGCCTGAGCACCTCCCGGCTTTGTGGCCACATGTGGCATGCTGACGTGTCCTGGTCTCCTGCCTTCCCCAATAAAATGCCCCTTGAAGTCCCTTCCTGCCTTTCCTCATTCAGACCTGGGTTTCCAGATTTCCTTGTACTGGCCTTCCTGTCTCAGTGACATGAGCAAGAACTGCTCTGCTCCCCAGATCACAGCTTGTCACAGCAGACTTAGAATACTCCACCCAAGGGACCGAAGTTGGGAAGTGTAGGTTTTGGTCTGTGTCCTCACACCTGTTGCCCAGAGAATTCGGAGCTCTGAATCATCTGCTGGAGAGACATAGGGAGTAAGGAGGCTGTCTTGTGATCATTAGCTCTACAGAGGGAACTCTAGGCCTGAAACTGTGCATTCATCACAACCGGTAATCCAGAGGGAGACTCGATGATCTCTGGAAAGACATGTTGGAATGTGAACCCCTGGTACAGCTGCAGTGGGGTTTGGGCAGAGCGATTGTGGGGCACCGTGTTCTCAGAGGCGAGTGATGCTAAATTGTGACTTCCCCCTGCTCCTGCCCCCCAGGTGGACCACTTGGATAAGAAGGGCCAGTGCGCACTGGTCCACAGTGCGCTGCGGGGCCACGGCGACATTCTCCGGTACCTGCTGACCTGCGAGTGGTCGGCTGGCCCACCCCAGCCCGGTGCGGTGAGGAAGAGCCAGGCCCTGCAGCAGGCGCTGACGGCGGCCGCCAGCATGGGCCACAGCGCGGTGAGTGGGGCTGCCAGGGCCCTTCTTGGGAAACTGGGAGCTTTCACGTTCTGCTGAGTTGCTAGCTTGTGATGCACCGAAGGAGTGAAAGAAAATGAGGGTCCAAGAAGTAGCAGGTCGTTTGACCACATGTAAAGATCTTCTGTTACTGCCCTCCTCCTGAGAGTGAAAACCCCGGGGTGGGGGCCCACCACGGAGCCCTTCCACAGTGTTCACTCTCACCTCAGCCTTCTTTCCTCCTCTCTTCCCTCCTCCTCCTTTTAGCCTCTAGCCCTGCTGTCGGCTTTGTTCTGCTTTGATTCATTCTTGGGTCTTTGTGATCTTTTTACAGTAATCACATGGAATCCTAATTCAAAATTTGTTCTTGAGTATTTTAAGGATTCTTAAAAATAGAACTTCAGTGCTCTGGTGGCCTGGAAGAATGCTTGTCATTCACAGTTCCTGCACTGAAGGAAAACTTCCTGCAGAAGTTAAATTGAGCACTTATTCTGGGTAGGTGTTAGTATTCCTTAGTTTGAAGATTTCATTGCTGTCTCTGCGTCTATGTGGGAATTTAATAACATTTTATCCTCTCTCTTCCATGTATTTCTCATTCTATATTATCTTCAAGCAATGAGAGTTGCCAGTGTTTGCAAGATTCTCCCCTACAATGACTTAAAGTAAATTTGGGTGCAAAGCTGGCTGGCTGACTTTTAGCATGTAAAACACTGTAGCAGATCCAAGCACACACATACATGCACATGTGTGCACATGTGCATGCATACACACATACACTGCTCCAGCCAGCACAGTATTTTGCAATAAGTCGAACGCAGACGCATATAAGAAAATGCAGCTGTCTTCTCTTAAGACAGACATAGACGAGATTTACAAATTTGTGAAACAACATCAGATGACTTACCCAATTCATTTTAGTTTTGGAGAAAATACTCATTTCATAAAAATGAAAAAATAAACATTTTATAGAAATGTGTTAAATGTTTCTATGTAGTGGATTTATTATTCCTTTAAAATAAAAATATAAATATTTTAAAATACCCATATACATAGATACAGAGAGAGCATGTTGAATACACATGTCTGAAAGTAGATGGTTTTCCTCTTTAAACTGTTTCCTAAATCTGCGTGGGTCTAGAATGTGAAAAATCATCTTGGGACAGTGAATGTCATGTTAGATGTCACCTTGGTCTCAGCTTGTTTTAAAGCTGGCTGTGAGGAGCTGTGAAAAAGCAGCCTCAGCACAGCCAGTAACCATTTCATGAAAGAGGGCAGAACTCGTTCACCGAAAGACTTGAAGGGTGTTTTGCATTCCTAATGGTGTTACAACAAGTGACCACACACTTGGTGGCTGAAAACACTGTTCTGCAGGTCAGAAGGCTGAAATCAAGTTGGGTGGGGAAGCCTGTGTTCCTTCTGGTGGCTCTAGAGGGGATGCTCCCCTGCTTTGTCTAGCCTCTAGAAGCCACCTTTATTCCTTAGCTTGCGGCCCCTGCCTCTGTCTTCAGAGTGCCTCGCTCTAACCAGGCTCCTGGCCCCC